AAAATTCAGTGTAACTTTCTATCTAGTCAACTAATGGTAAACACTCTGTTCCTGGACCTCCTACTCGGCTGTAGATCCTATAAAAATCCTGCTCCCTGAGAGTTCGGGGCTTGGCTCTTTGCTAAAGAATCCCAGCCAAGCCAGCAGGCATGAATAAAGAACCCGTCTCCAGAACGCCAGGTACCACTTGGTTTGTTGGTCTTGGTCTGTTGTAACGCTTACTGGGAATTGTAAACACCTCTGAGGAGCTGTAAACATCTCCTAAAAGCTGTAAACACTTTTTTTTTATGAGCTGTAACACTACAATAGTATACCCAAAACAATTCTGAAAAAAATAAATAGAAAAAGAATAATTAGAAAACTTGTGCTGGCTGATGTCACAATTTCCCATCAAGCTTCAGTAAACAAGCCATGCACTGCTAGTATAAAGGCAGACAAGGGTTTTCCAATCTCAGCACTGTGGACACTGTGGGGCCAATGATTCTTTGTTGTGGGAGGCAGCTCTGTACCTTCTACCCACTCTATGCCAGCACCACACATACACACTTCTCCATGACAAAACATGTCTCCAGATGTGGCCAAATGCCACCCTAGAAGGCAAAATCACCCCAGCTGAGAAACACTGGCACAGACATATACATCAAAGAGACAGAACAGAGAGTGCAGAATGAAATGCTATCTAAATGGTTAACTGATTTTTGACAAAAAGGCAAAGGCAATTGATGGGAAAAAAGATCTTTACAATAAATGATACTGGAATAACTGGATTTCATATGCAAAAAAATAACCTTTTTGTCCCCGCCAGTACTGGGGATTGAACCCAGGGCCTTTCTACTGAGCTACTTTCAGCTCTCTTTTTATTTTGAGGTAAGATCTAAATTGCAGGTTTCCCCAGGCTGGGCTTGAATTTGTGATTCTGCCTCAGCCTCCTGAGTGTTAGGACCACAGGTACACACCACCACACCCTGTGAAAGCCGTAGATTTTTTTTTTAGAAAATTAACCCAAGAGCCGGGCATGATGGCACACACGCTATCAGCCCAGCACTCGGGAGGCTGAGGCAGGAGGATCACCCTGAGTTCGAGGCCAGCATGGGCTACACAGTGAGTTAAAGGGCAGCCTGAATTACAATGAGATGCTGTCTCAAAAAAAAATTGGATAAGAGACTTAAACAGACGTTTGTCACACACACACACGAACACACAAACACACCCCATATTCAAATGGCTAATAAACCCATGAAAAGATGCTTAACATTACCAGTCACCAGGAAAATGCAAATCACAACCCCAGTGAGGGACTACTTTACATCCACTAGGTTGGCTAAAATCAAAAAGATGGACAAGTACTGACAAAGATGTATAGTAACTGGGCCCCTTCTACACTGCTGGCAAAAATAAATATAAAATGGTGCAGTCACTCTGAAAAATAGTTTTGATGCTCCTCAATAAGTTAAACATAGGCCAGACATGGTGGTGCACACCTGTAATCCCAACCCTATGAGGCTGAAGCAAGAGTTTGAGGCCAGTCTGGGGCAGGTAGTAAAACCGTGTTTCAAAATAAAAAGGTTAAGTGGGGCCCTGTAATACATCCCTATAATGCCAATGACACAGGAGGCAGGAGGATCACAAGTTCCAGGCCAGCCCAGGTAACTTTGTGAGAATCAAAATTTAAAATAAATTGAAAAAAGACCAAAAATAGGTTGGGCATGGGCATGTTGCTCAGTAATAGAGTACTCCTGATCCAATCTGTAGCACTACAAAAAAAAAAGAGGGGGTTAAGTAGGTATCTCAGGTATATAGCCAATCCACACAAAAACTGTACATAAATGTTCACAGCACCATTATTCATAACAGTAAAATGAATAATGAATTAATGAACAACCTAAATGTTCATTAATTTATGAAAAGATAAAATGTACATAACTGTGCAGTAGAAGTATAAATATACACCATATGGGAGAACCTCAAAAAGCGAGGTCAAGCCAGACACACACAAACATAATTGTATAATTCCATTTATATGACATGTCCAGAAAAAGCAAACTTTGTAAGACAGAAAGCAGATCAGTGATGGGGTGAAGAGAGAAGACAAAGATAAGCACCAAGAAGTTTGTGTGTGGGGGGTAATTTCTAAATTGATTGTGGAAGTTTACACAGTATTATCAATTTATTAAAAATCAAGTCCTATGTTTACAAAGCAAGAGGACCACAAGTTTGAGACCAGCCTGGGTAACTTACGGAGATCTTTTCTCAAAACTTAAAAGAATAAATAAATAAAGCAAATGTTATTAAAAACTCATGCCAAGCACTGTTGCAGTGTATGCTGAAAGTTCCATAAAGAGAATTAGTGTTGGGGCTGGGGATTTAGCTCAGGGGCAAAGCGCCTGCCTGGCAAGCGCAAGGTCGTGAGTTCGGTTCCCGGTCACAAAAAAAAACAAAAAAAAAAAAAAAAAAAAAAAAAAAAAAAAGAGAATTAGTGTTTGCCAGGCGTGGTGGCACATGACTGTAATCCCAGCATTAAGGAGGCTGAGGCAGGAGGATCGCTGCGAGTTTGAGTCCAGCCTGGACTACAAAGTGAGCTCAAGGCCAGCCTGAACTACATACCGAGACCCTGTCTCAAAAAGACAAAAAAAAAAAAGAAAAAAAGAAAGAAAGAAAGAAAGAAACTAAATTAGTGTTAGATGTTTAAAAAGTACTAGCACCTGACTAGGGGTATAACTCAATAGTAGGATGTGTACTTAACATATGCAAGACCCTGGTTCAATCCGAACAGCACTACAAACAAACAGCATCCATGGTATCTTGTCCTTGACACAATCAACAAAACTGACAGAGACTTGAAAGGACAGCTTCTCATAAAGCTGACTGGTCCATTGGGAGAATCCCCTCAAATCATCACCAACATCTCTGTGGACCCAAGTCTACCCTTAGGGAAACATAATGAAGTACTGTTAGTGTCCCTTCTGTCTAAAATTGACCCTCCCTGACCTAATGGTTTTCTGGGGAACCTGGAAGCACCAGGCACAGGAGGATCTTGAGATCTCATGCAAGTCAAGAAGACCAGGAAAGAATACACACACGGCATCACCCAAAAGAATGAGAACAGTAAGGGAAATAATACTGGCTGGATAAGGCAGCCTTTGGACTGGGCAGGCCTAGAACATACTATCTACTGCAGCAGCATAACTCAGGTGGCCAATGGGTTTCACCTGCAGGGCCAGCTGCAATCGATTAGTGGCAGCTGGCTGCAGGATTCTGTAATGGATTCTGAAACCAAGTCCAGGCTCAGCGGGAAGACGCGACAGGAGCAACTGCCAATGTCTACCACAGCGGAAGGAGAAAGTGATGCTATTAGTGCCATGTACTTGTTGTTTTGTCCAATCATCCAAGTGAAGGGACAATAAAAGTGTGCTGGTCCCAGGTAACAGGAGACGTCTCAACGAACTTTCTGATATGTTATGCCACTGTTAACTGCTGTTAGGGTCAAAGCCAGTTATCTGTTTTCCTTTTTAAGCAATTACAGCACCTAACATTTGCTAAGGATTTCTTACATATCGTGCATAGCTCATAATATACATGCGCTATCAATCCGTATCACAAGTAAGGAAATTGAGTGGGGGAGAGGAGGGTTTAGGTAACTTGATCAAGGTCACTCTGCCAAAGACTAGCAAGAAGAATACAGGTGGAGAGGTCAACAGCAAACTTCTCTGACCTGAGATTGTCAGCCCTTAGACACTCTAGGGCAGTGACGGCAAACCTTTGACGGCTTTCAAACAGCCGGTCGCGGCCTGAGCGCTACAGGTTCACCACCACAGCTCTAGGGGAATATCCAGAGGGCCACAGCCTCACACCAGGCCCGGATGCCCAACCTTGGTGCCTCGGATACAAGCAGGCATAGCGATCTCCCTGCAGTGTAGGCAACAGTGTGGTCTGGGCAGCTGACTAACCCTTTCCTACTGTACTCACTGTACCAGTTTCCCAGCCCTGCATCCCTGTGCGGCCCCCCCCCCCCATCCCTTCCAAAATCAGGACAGAGCATATTTTCTCAAACCTGAGTGGACATCAGATTCAGCTGGGCCATGCGTCTAAAATAGAGGGTGCTAGGCGCCAGCAGGTCTGAGGCAGGGCTGGAAATGTTTAACAAAACAAACGGCTCCCCGCATGAGAGCAGGGGGGCCTGGACCACATGAGAAGGAAACCGGGCCTAGTGGGTATCCTTATCTTTCCTCTGTGCTTTCTTCTGCAAATGTCAGTAGAAGATGGAGAGTGAGGAGCTGAAGGTAAAAGTTCGGTCGGGCCACACATCAAGGCACCGAACAAAAACAAGGCTTCTCTGGGAGCCAAACACCTGATCCTAGTCCCAGCTGTGCCTCCATCCAACTCTGAGACCTTAGGAAAGTCGCCTTCTTACTAGTGACTCAGGAACCTCAGCCAAGAAACCAGCAGGTGTCCTCCAGCTCTTCTCCACCCCGGCTGAAGGTCCTGGTCCTCTCGGCCGCAAGGACCCCTGGCTCTCCCCTCTCAGTCACAATCATCTGCCCGGGAACTGCACAGTGCCCCCACCCACACACCAGGAAAGCCAAGCCTCCGGTGAGATCGGATGTAAAGTGCCCAGACTCCGGGCCAGGTCTTCACACCACGCCTCCAAAGACCGCAAAACCCAGCGTCGGCGGTAGGCAATCTTCACAGCGCACTTTACAAATACAAGCGATGCGCCAGGCACCGCGCTGAGCACGGGACCCAGACCAATAGAGGCCGCGCTAAGAGACTGGCCAAGGTCACCAGCCGGGAAAGAGCAGCTTCGGATTCGACTGTGGACAGTCCGTCCCGGGCCCCGACCACGCCTCAGGCAAGGGGACAAGGGCGGCGCGGGGCTTCCCGCGGGCGCCCGGCAGGAAGGGTCCGCGGCCGCGCGGAGCGCCTCCACCTCTCTTCTCACCATCCCCAACCCCGCTCCACCCGCAGCCCCGCGTTCCAGCCGCGCCTGGCAGGACGCTCACCGGACTTCGGAGGGTAGCGATAGGCGGAGTTCGCCTGGATATCGATGTCCTCCACCCCCGCGATGCGGCGGCTCAGGATGGAGCCCATGATGAAGGCACGGGCAGGGGCACGGGCCGGGACTCGGGCGGCGGCAGTGGTAATGTTCTCACGCAGACATGGCCAGAACCAGGCCGCACGGACACAGGGCCACAGGGTGCCTGGATCCAAGCCCCTACCCGGACTGGCCGGGTCAGACGCCGCGGCGCCCCGCCTTCAGCCCGCAGCTCCCCGGGAAATGAAGTCCGCTCCGCCCAGGTGCTGCGGGCCGCGACGCTGCGAGCGCGCCTGCGCACTACGCCTCCCAGATTGCCCCTCGCGGAGACCAGTCGGCCTGGGACAACCAAGTGCGCACGCGCGGGGGAAGGACGCCCTCTGCGCGACGCAGGAGGGTCTTCCCTTGGAGCTGGTCCCATTGCTCTTCGGTCTCTTCTTGATCTGTACGCGCGTAGCCCGTTTTGGAGAACCAGCGCCTCTGGTTTTCCCCCATGTCTGAAACGTCTCGGATCTCCCCAGTTCCCAGGGTTCGTCTCCCAGCTGGTCAGCAGAAGGCCCATTTTTACCTGGGGCATAGAAGAAAGCCTGGGATGGACCCCAAACCTCCTGAGGTAGTGCTCACAGAGGAAGGAGGCACCTGAGTGAACCTTGGCCAAAACCGAAAGCATCGCTCCGGACCCATACTTGTCCAGAACATTACTTTTACAGTTTTACAGCCCCCCTGCAAGGCAGTAGACGTCCTGCAGTTTACACTAGGAAAACTGAGGTACATAGTATGTGCTGGAGGCAAGTTTCCAAGAATCAGGGTCAGGATTCGAACCTGGCAATTGGAAAGGTATTTCCTGGCTTTCGATTCACACACACCTCTCCGTGTAAGGAGGTCAGATGGGAGCCTGTTTGTACCTTTTTCAGTTGAGAAAATGGGGTTTCAAGAAAATGCTTAGCAAGTCAAGCCTCCTATGCCAACTGAGCAACTGGGAAGAGTAGTGACAGACTAAGAGTCTTAAATGTCAAATCCAGCACAGCGACTTAAATCTACACATTAAAATGCTCCTACCTTTCCAGGGAAAGCCGGATCCAATGGTCCTGATTGCTGAGAAATCCAAATGACTGAGATGAGGGATTTGTGTGATTGCGGAGAGTACTGGTCTTAGAGGTAGGTGGTTAGATTTCCCTGCCCTACAACCAACATGCCCTCTTACTGAGCATTTGTTATAGCCCGGTATGGTGCTGGGAGCTTTGCACATAGTCGCTCATTTAAATTTTCTCTGATGTGTGTCCTAATAAAAAATAAAAATTTTTAGCTGAGTGTGGCGGTGCACACCTGTAATCCCAGCACTTGGAAGGCTGGGGCCGTTGCAAGTTCAAGGCCAGCCTGAACTGCATAGCAAGACCTTGTCTCAAAAAAAAAAAAAAAAAGTTTAAAAAGTCTCTTGAGTTCTATTTTTATTCCCAATTTACAAAAGAGGAAATTAAGGTTCACAGAAATATCCACTCTAGCTGATTGCATGGCAAAAAGTGGCAAGGAGGAGATTTACCTAAGGGTCCTTTCTGTGTCTCCACATTTCAATCTCTTGCCTCCTGATGGATAAACCTGAAGACATCCCCACGCAATGTAGTCTTTGTTCCCTTATTTAAGAAATTTTTTCAGCCAGACATGATGGTGCACACCTGTAATCTCAGCACTAGGGAGGCTGAAGCAGGAGGATCACCATGAGTTTCAGGCTAGCCTGGATTCCATACTGAGTTCAAGGCCAGCCTAGACTATATAGTGAGACATTGTCTCAAAAAAAAATTTTTTTACATTGAATCACATATTTACATGTACACACATCCATATATCAACCCTGCATTCAATTTTTTTCCCTCTCTGATCATGGTGAGGGAGAGTCCTGAGGATTCTAATGCTCAGACTGAAAAGTAGCACGAAGAGCACATTCTTCCTATGGACGATGCACTGGGGCAGATGTCTTGCTAGTTGGACCTTTCATTAAATATTCTTAAGTGTTTCAGATTCAAGGTGCCTCAAAGCCCCTCCAGCAACACTGTTCTGTGCTTCTCAACACAGCTAGGAGACAGGTCTTTCCTGATTTGATTTGAAGTTCCACTATCAACATCTTGGGTGGTTCATTTACTTCTTTGACAAATATTTAGCATGCAACTTCTATGTGACAAGTCATGAGCCAGACAACAGGGATCAAACGGTGGAATATGCTAGACACAAAGCCCACAGGCTAAGGGACTGGGGAAACAGCTCAATGGCACAAGAGCTTGCCTGGCAAGCGCAAGCCACCTGAGTTCACTTCCCGGTATGAAAAAGTTTTAAAAATAAAAACTAATAAGAATAATAAAACTCAGGAGCCAAGGATATGGCACAGTGCCTGCCTGGCAAGCTTGAGGTCCTGAGTTCGATTCCCAGTACCAAAAATAAACAACAAAAACAAAAACAAAAAGGCTGAGTTGGAAAGACCTCTTCCACTGATCAGCCATGTGAACTTCGGCAAGTTCCTCAACCTCCCTGGCTCTCAAGTCAGACAAGGGTGGTGCTGGAAATGCCTTTTCTTCTCTTTCTCGCTCATCTCTGGCCCCAGCTGTCCCATTTCAACCTGTTAAGAAATCCAAAGTCCACCCTCTAGCCAGGCTGATTGTAGCTGAAAACAAGACTGTTTTCCCTTCCCTACCACACCTCGGAAAACAAGCTAGCTGAGGTGGTGCACAGGGGCCAGCACAGTGACCTTTGCCCCTACCAGCCCCACCTGCTCCAGCCCTGCAAAGCGGGCTGGTCTGGGAGTGTTCCTTCAGGGCTGAGCAAGCCTGGGCAGGCATGGAGGTGGTAAGTGGATTGCAGGTGGGAGGAAGCACTTCTTGCCTCCTTAAGCAAAATGAGGCCCCAGTAGACCCTGCCAGGATAGCACCCACCCTCCCTTGCCAGAAACACATACTGCTGGACCACAGGGCACTGGCTCTTTTCCGCTGGTTCACAATGACAGAGTCGAAGACTAATTTCCAGCCTCAGCTTCCTTATCTGTAAAATGGGGATTGGTCTCCCCAAAGTGGTCTAGATCAAGGCAAAGGGGTATTAAAACTGGTGCACTGATGACCAGGCCTTGTGCTAAGCACCTCGTAGATATGAATTCCCAACAGCACTGGGAGAGCTCAGAGTTTTGCAAAAGAGAAAACCAAAGGTAGGTGGAGGAGTTAAGACTGACAGGTCTGTTTCCCTCTCAAACCTGCCCACCTTCAACCATGCTCCGCTGCAGTTCCCATGGCAACAATGGAATTAGAAGTCATACTCAGAGCTGCCTCTTACCGTGCTGACCCTGTGCTAAGCACTTTGTTCACACTGATTCATGCCTAGGATGCTTCAGAGATAAGGAAGATTCTCACCAAGAGCAAAAATACCTTTGCACCAGGAGGATTTGCAGAAAACTATGGCCCCTTAGTGATCCCACTAAGGCAGGAAGGAGGTTGAAATTCCCATTTCCTGTGGATAGAGGCCTTCTGCCAAGACTAAGGTTCCTGCCTAGGGAAAGAGTACACTCAGTGTCTTCCTGCTCTAGTTTTCAGAGGCCTGATCCTTCGCCAACCCTCTGAACTATCTAGGTCTCACCCACCTCTCTCTCTCTACCCTGGAATCTTTAGGTGCTGTCCACCAGTGGACCCATTAGCCCCTGGGAGAGACTCTGGCAGGGTTCAAGAGTCCTCCCCAGAGCACTGCAGGCTGCTCCTCAATTCCTGGTACCTACCTTACGGGAACGGAAGCTGTCAGCCACCATCTGGTCTCTGCATTACCACAGCTAGTGATCATGATCGGAACAACTGATCAGATCTGTTATAAACCCTGAGTGGCCCTTAGCCCACTCCCAAGGCCTGTGCTTGCCTCCATAGGGTACTTTCCATACCAGCAATTTTACACTTGTAATTTCCGACGGGCACTCCTCTCCCGCTTGCTCTGGGCCTGGTTTTGCTCTTTTATAGCCCAGAGGCAGGTCAAAGCCAGGCACAGAACAGGCCAACAAGAAATTGGGGCCAGGAAACACGAGGAATCAGGCCAAGGTCACGCATCCGAAGATACCAGCTGGTTCCCACCACAGCCTGTCGCAGGGGCCCCACCCAGCCTCGCGCTCTCTCCCACCCGCTACGTCAACCGGAAGTGGCATGTGCGGGGCTGTAAACACAACCCGCAACACCCCACCCCCGCTCCCAACCCCGCCCCCGTCGGCCACGTGACGCGCCCCCGCCCGCCCTCACCGCCGCCTCATTGGACTGCCAGCTTTGTTTACCTTATATGGCCAGGTCCTAACACCCTGCAGCAGCCCATTGGCCGAGGCACGGCCTCTCTCAGCTGACGTCACTCAGGACAGAAAGATGCAAATAAACCGGTGCATCCTGGGAAGGTAAGTCCAGAGAGGTTCCGGAAGCGTCTCCGCGCGGTCTTAGTGTCCCCACGCTTGGAGCTAGGATTTCTGGCGGAGAGGGCAAGCTGTTGCGTGGGAAAGTGGGTACTGCAGGAAGGGGGACACCAAGACACCAGAAGCTACTGGCCTCGTCTGCCTGTCCCGGTTGCCGTCCCTATCTCGAGACGCTCCTCCTTTCTGCCTGGCCGAGAGCCAGACTGAGGAGGGCAAGGCGAGAGTGGTCTCGGGGGCTCCCAAGGCCTTCTGGAGGCAGCGCCTCGAAAGACCGACTCCTTAGTTCACTGGACGATGTTTAGTAGCGTCTACTGTGTGTTAAGGTCTACTGCAGCGGATTTGGCCGGAATTCTTGGGGTTTCTCCTCTCTAGAGGCTCCAGGGTCCCCAAAGCCCGGCGTTTGCGCCCACTTTGCGATCGGCCGGGCACACAGTAGGCGTTCTGCTACCAGACCCGCCCTCCTAGCCCGCCCGGCGGCGGGGGCGTCGCGGACTACAGGTCCCAGCATGCCCCGCCGGCCGCTGGGGCCGCGAGGCGCGGCGAGTCAGAGCGCACGGTAAATATTTGTATTAGCCGGAGCCGGCTCTCTAATGGTGGACGCGTGAGGCGCGGCGCGAGCGCGCAGGCGGCCGGAGCGGGCAGCGCGGC